GCAAAAGAAACGCAATTGTGGGAACTTTTTTAAGGGTAACTTCAAAACGACCCTCGGCTTATTTGAAAAACTGATTTTTTTTCTGGTCCACAACTCAAATGTCAAGGATTATTATCAGACACAATTCCAATTGCGAAATGCCAATCTATCGTACGTAACAAGCAAACTTATAGGTATTTCTGAAATAATTTCTAACGTCACTAGATTAATTTTAGAACAGAAAGCTCACTAAAATTTTCAGGAGCGTCAACATCCCACAATAGTTGAACGTTCGCCAAAATCTCCAACCGATTGGGACAGTAAAACACGTACTTGGATCAGTCCTTATCTACATGCACCGAGCGCGCATTTCCGTTTCGTTCCGAAAAAATGTCAGAAATTTCCCCCAACGTATACAACGTAAAAGTGGGCGAAAAAGTTAAAGTGGTAGGAAAGATATTTTCCTACACCTTTTGGCGTACTCAAATTGACGACGACGTGTTTTGGAGTATACAGGGTGTCGACAATGGCGGTTGCCGGTCGGCGTGGATTGTCACACACTACCTCGGACCTTACGAACAGGGGAAGCTCTACGAACAGCAGATCACTCTACGGGATCCGTGCAACAAGAAAATTAAGTTAATGTACGCGTCGAACTGCTTCGATGGCGAAAATCGCGTCGAAATCGCAAGAAGTGTTGTTAATCAGTTTAAAGACGAACGGAATAGGTTCAATTTCAATTTTCGCATAGTGAAAAGGAAGAGAAAGCATCCAATTCGAATGTTTTGATCTTGTTTTAAGGAATGAAAAATGATAGCTATAGTGGAAGCGCAAGAGAAGGACTCATTTTATGTTAGTTTTTTCATTACTATGTGTAAGTTTCAAATAGTTTTTCTGTTCATATTAAAAGCGGTTAAAATGTAAGATTTGAAATGTCCGCGTTCAATACAAATGTGACGTGTTTTTTCGTTACGCAAAATTTTAATTAGGACACCCTGTATAAAATTTTGTTTAAGACAAAGGAACTGCATATAAGGTGACACAAGGAAGATACTTTTTTTATTCAAATATCTGGCTTTCATAACTTAAAGCCGAGCTTAAAGCGATATGTGTTGTATCTTAATTGCCTCTCTGGAAGTTCTTACTATTTTTTATTATACAGGGTATCTCAAAAGTTATGAGTATTTTATGAAAAAAATGTTATTTACGATAATTCTCGTTTCAGTTAGAATCATGTTATTTTTCAAAATACACATTGTTGTCAGTTTATCCAAAGAATAATTATTAGTTACTCTTTGGTTTATAATTTAAAAAAACGTTGGTGTCTGCGCAGGCGCATTTAAATATTATTGTTGGTTAAGATTATTCAAAGAAATTGTAACTGCACAGACTTATGACATCAGAGAATGTACAGTATTTTAAATAAACGCACGACTATCGTTTGCAATGTAATTGTGTACTAGGTCGTACTTTGTAAATATTGTTCAAAACATGTGGACAAGTGTGGCCTAATAAAGCCGAGCAAACAGATAAAAATTTTCGCATTTTCGATGAATTGATCAGTACCTCCCGAAAGGTCATCTAACAGATTATTTATATGTACAGGGTAGTTCAAATTCTTGGCTCAACATTAGGATCTCCATAACGGTGAGAGATACAGTGTAGGTAGGCAAAGTTGCCCCTTCTTGTGACTTAAAAAACCTGATGTTTAAAGTATGTAATATGTTTGCATTTGCTAGAAGAATCTTGAGATTTTTACAATATGCGATATGCTTGGCCTTTACTAAAAGCATCGACGGTTAAAATTTCAAAAAATATCTTTAGAAATAAGAAAGTTGACATTATGCAGTCTGCTTCTTGGTTGGGGTGCGAGATCTATAAGCTACCGAATACAAAAAGAACGAACAAATTGAAAACTATAGGAGTGGGCCACGAGTTGGAAAATGCGCTAAAAGCTGGAAAAAAACCTAAAGACTGGGGGGGTTTAGAAAATCACTTTGGAACAAGCTTTGGAAACAGTTTCGAGAACTTTCTGGAGACACAGGCACTTTTTAGAAGTTTACAAAACTACATTTGCCCTTCTCAAAATAAGACAACCCCAGAAATCTATTTTCAGAACTTGTTAAGACTTATCCAGCTCTGGATAGTCTTCTGTACGCTTTCCGGAATATAGTACCGTCGAGAGCATTCGAATACTTTCCAGCGCAATGTAAGATGTTTTGTAAGATTTGTATGTGCTCTTAAGAGAGATCGTGTAACAGTAGCCCACCTCTATCGTACGCTCGCTCTAAATAAATTGAAGGTCTAACAGTATGCCCCCTCCCTCCCTTTCTTACTAACTTTGAGCCTAGCCTACAGCGTTGTAGAGTGTAGAGATAATAAGGAATCTTACACAATATATTAGTTGTTTTGGAGGTCCGAACCACTGTTCTAAGTGGTATGACTGCTGAGAAATAAATTACTGTGCCACTCAATACAGTGTGTACTTTTTTTTAAGGGAGATATAAAAAATACAGTTGATGATGGTTTGTCCAAAACGAAACGTTGTATTGAAAATCTCTCAACGGTGTCTTGTAGAGGTCAAAAAGTGGCAATGAAAAAGTGTTCTTCGTTTTTTTGCATCTATTCAAATAAGTAAAATTCCAGGTAACATCATCGAAATCGGCAAATTTCGGTTTTTCTAGCATTTCTTCGGAAGTAAAATCTGCTTATAATTAATGGTAATAATAATAATAATAATAGTGCCTTTATTGCAGTAATACAGTATACAGTGACACTAAGATAATAATTTCAACAATTGAAGTGTCAGATGTATGTGCCATAGAAAAACCGAGAGAAAAACTTTCCAGGGACGATTTACTCCAACTAATTACAAATGAACAGTATTTAGAATTGTAAAACCCAATATTTTCAACAAATAAAAATGCTTTTAGGATAATACCTCGGATAGTACCAGGCGAGGTACCAGGTCATAGACGCCTTATATTTATTCTAAAAGATCATTTTGTAAAAAATATACAGTTAGAGTGAGTAAATCTCGGAGTAAATTTACTCGTGGTAATATTCAAAGAAATATCTAGGGATATACTCGAGGATATCTGTGGAAATCGGAGGATATCTTGTCTAAAACGAGTTTTTATATACAATATGTCCCGAGGTATGTCCAATAGGTATAAGAATTAACAACACCATAAAAGATACAGTCGTTTACATTAGAAAAAAGTTGCGTATTTTGGGGCTTAGTAAAATGCCTCTTTTAAAAATTCTCAGTTCAGAAGATATTCTAAAGAAACCAAAATTAACCATATTCGTTTTTATTTTTTTCCGATTGTGTTTGAAAAAATATCAAAAAACAAATACCTATAAGTAGGAACTTTTAAGCTCTCATGGTGCCCTCAGATTTTCACTGTGACGTTCATCATCAACTTCATATTTTTATACGAACCGGAAAGAAAGTACATACTGTATTGAGTAACATCTTATATTACGAATATGGATCATTTGTGGATCCTGTAAATGCTATTAAACAAGAAAACAAACATTACCACAAAAATCACAGTAGCCAGTTTCCTTAATAATTTGTATTTTTTAAAATAGGAAAGGACTAATACTTTTACGTGCATTTAAAGTCTAAGTAGCTTGTGGACAATGTCAAACAAAGACAAAAAATATGAACCCCCACAGAATCGATGATGGATCGTAGTGTAGTGACATGTAGATCGTTTACGGATCTTATTAAACACATCTTCAAACGTTATGGCTACACAAGTAAAACGGAACATTCAGAAAATTATTTGTAAATTAATAATTTTAATAGTTTAATAGTTGTTGTGGATAAGTAATAATCTTATGGTCTTTCTTTTTCTTAAGTGCCACCTAGAAAAATACTGAGAAAAATACCTGCCGCCTCTGCTATCTGATTAGGATTATGTTCCTGGTAGCCCCTCAAGAGTGGAAAAAAGAAGAAGAAACAGATTTTTTTATGGAGAGTTCGAGGGAGGGTTGGAGTTTTTCTAGAATTTTGGACGGTTCCTCAACAGTTGTACAACTTTCCCTAATTGATTCTGTGGTAAACTAAAAAAAATTATGAGAGTTTTTAATACATCAAGTGCTAAAGGAATATTCGCGACTATTTCTGGTTAGAATTTTTGAGTTCAATATTGGTATAGATTACTGCCATGTAGCAGATTGAAATTCTGATCTGGACAGTCCCTCAATAGTTCGTGATGGCGGGCAAAGTAGACGTACGTAATGCTGCTCAGTAGGAAAAATGGTGTAAAGGTTGCAAAATCAAGAGTTACATGCGAGATTACATGTGTCAAATGTAATGCGCTTTAGTTCACAACCTATAAGCACTTTGTTGTGGATGTATTTGTTTTTGGTGGAATTTTAAACTTATGTATAAAGCGAGGTATAAAGTACCATTATGGCTCTTCCTCAGGCTCTTCAAAAACACTACAACTTTTCAGAATGAAGTTTTGCATTTAATTCTAAAATATAAACGATTTATGATACTTAAAATTTCCCGAGTTTTCTTAAACATTTTGATAAGAAATATAAATGAGAAAATTTTGAAATTCTGGTCAGTTGTCGGTCACCCTACACAAGTTATGCAACTATTCATTATTAGATGTATATTCAGTAAACTACAGTCGAAACTACAGTTGAGACTACAGTCAATATATGCTTGGAACATTCTAAACTCTAAAAAAGTTCACTTTTGACTTTTCAAAATTGATTGTTTATTACTTAATTGTAGGAACTTCTAGGCACTGTAGAACTTTATGGGAGAAATTCCAATTGCAAAATTTTATAAATGATGGTCATTTAAATTAGTCATTCAATATGCAATAAAATTACTCTGCCTACCACAATAACCTCATTAGTGTATATTGCATAAATAAAGGATTGCATTACACTGCATAAAATTACCTCTTGAACCACTTATTAGCTTCCATTCTCCTCGCATTAATAATAATAATAATAATAAATATGGGACCTACACACACAAAAATGCATACCTTTTGTGCCCTACACATCATAGCAATCGCCTGAACATCGTGAGAAGTGTGTCTTGAATCCATCAAACACACGGCGCAAACGCCGACCTTACATACGAGACAATACATAGATATAATTTCGGTTTCGTGTTCGGGACATCTCCCATCTTTGCCCTTAAAGCACATGCTTTGCCCCCGTTTCGGTTCCACGAGTATATGTTTGGCTAACGGACCCCGTAGGGGATGGCAGGATTCGCGGCAGGCGTCACAATAAAGTACCTCGCATTGTTCGCACATGACAGTCGCATCTTGCACCGGTTCGTTTTCGCACATCTGACATTTTAATGTTAAGTTACGGGTTTCGCTATATTTATCGACAATGGTTTGCATGATACGATATTTAGGCAGGTTGTAGGCGCCGTTCTCATCGAAGTAGACCAATTTGTGACAAATCGGGCAGGCTAACGAGACAGCGCTAGGAAATAATAGACCATTCGGGGTACCGACGTAACTGTTGGGTCTGGAGGTGCAGACGACCCCGCTGTCCGTTTCACTTAAAATTGATAGTTTATCGCTCTCCTGATAGTCGCCAGAGCTGCCCGATGCTAGGCTTTCCGCATTCTCCGAGGCGGTTGACGAACTCGCGCCGTTCGCACCATTTTGAGCGGGTTGTTGCAGTTGAACCGCACAATTTAAGCACAATGAATGATAGCACGGCAATAGGACCGGATTATTATAAAATTGTTTACAGGAAATGCAACGGAGCTCTTCCTCCATTATATCATAGAAACTAGGAAAAGACGGAACCAGCGACTACACTCGGACGACAACATGTCAAACGAATCCGTACTGTACGTACGAGGCAGCTGCGATTTGTAGTAAACGAACGTACAGGTGCGGGGCGAGGGGTAGGTAATAAGGTGACAGACAGTTCGATTCGATTCGAACAAAAAACAACCGAATTTTAACGAAGTTTGACGATACAACAAAAATATAACTAACTAAATAAATGAATAAACAAAAGGCTCAACAGAGAGTGTAGAATGTACTATGACTCTGTTCTTGTGAATCCTTTGCAATGACAATTGAAATAAAAATAAATTAAAATTCCTACGAAGCACGGGCTAGTAGCTAGTAGAGGAATAAAGTGTCATATGACAACTATATGCAGTGCATATTTAAACTATACATGGCTCTTATATATATGACATGGCTAGTTATACAATCACAGTCTAGACTCTAGGATGAGATAGTTTCGAGTCCGACTATCATCTAGAATCTGACGTGACCTTAGAGACCATATAGTACATGGACTGCTATTAGCCCTATGCTTTCAATACAAAATGGGTGGTCACGGATAGAGGGCACTGCAGTCGTGGGTATGTGAATCTCAGGGTAAACTAAAGTCGTGTACCTAAATACCACTCGGATCGTGTAAAGAGTAGCTTTTATAGTAATCGCGTAGTACGGGAAGCTTTAAATACTCTCGATTATCTTCTATACGTCCACAAATAAAAATACGTTTGCTTTTTTTGGCATATATAGACGATAAATTAATTGACGTTTGTTAATTTATAGGTTGACATCGTGCCTAATCGGACAACTTCGGACAGACTCGTTTACCCTGAAACTCACATACCCAGACGATGTCCTTGACCATATTTTAGTGACAATTAGCAGTCCATGTACTATATGGTCTAAGGACGTAACTCCAGAAAAACTTTTACACTGCGATTTGATACACTTTCGAATTTTTTATCCTCTGAGGAAAAACTCCTTTTATGATCACAGCGGATAACATAACGCATGTTCCTTGTTTATAAACAATGGTAACGTAAGATTCTATACGCAAATTCTAGTCTTGGGTCCAATGATATCCTATTAAGAGGAGAATGTACCATAAATATAGGCTGATGAGTTAAATATAATCTACTAAAGAAACATAATAAATGTTAGAATTGTATTTTACACTTGGGGGGGTTCAGGAAGATCAAATGAAAATCATTCTAAAAGAAGAATATTAGAGGCAGATCGCTGGTCAAGAGATAAGCCTGCGAATACTAAAGGCCCGTCAAGGCACAGATTTCTTGAGAGAATAAAGATACTACAAGATACCGCTGCTCCCCATAGGCGCCACTGGGGGGGGGGATAAGCCCCCCCAAAACCGAAATCAGCCCCCCCTCCCCCAAGCCATGCGACAAATCATAATTCTTAAGAAGCTTTACACATTTGCCCTAAAAACCTTTATTGTTGAACTCGCTTGTTCCCCGAGCGGAAGATTGTAGGCGTCGGCGTCGGTCGGTCGGTGAACTAGTGAGTCATCTCTCAAGCTGCAATCATATTGCCATAGTTTCTTGAGCAACCTGTGAAAGGTCATTTTCGGCTATGTGAAATTTATGAGCTGGTTAAGAAGAACAATGGCTCAAGATCGTTTCTCTAATATTTCTCTTTGATATATAGAAAGAGATGTTTCCATCGATTCCGAAGAAATTGTTAATAAAAAAAAAACTAGGAAACTACCTTTACGCCTGCAGTAACATCAATAAAATTTACTTCTTGTATTTTTTTATAATAAGAAACGTGTAAAAAAATATAGAAAACGAGCTCCTGGGTATGGCTATAGCATATGGAAAACCAAATTTTGAAACTGGTGTTAAATTTGCTTTCATTCCAAGTGGTTATGTATCAAATTTCATTTAAATACCTTCATAAATAAGAAAGTTAGCAATTCGGTTTATAAATGGTAGAGATGCAATGCGAAGAGGGAACTGTGAATTCTGATCGATTAGGCTTAACTTTTGGAATTGCATTTTATATGGCTAAATCCATGCGCATAATGAATTTCATGCAATTCGGTTCATAACTAACGAAGATGTCAAAAGGGCCTTCTTTATTTTTTGGCCTACATTGCCAATTCACGAACTCCGATCTACAAATACGAAAAAGAATGCACCTGCAAAATTTCATCGTAATCGGTCCATTTGTTTACGAGATATCGTGCTAACGGACTGACAAACAGACAGACACCGCAAAATAATAATAATAAATAAATTTTTCATAAATTAACATTTCGTAATGTCATTAATAAAGTGAATGTGATCCTCAGAATTCAAATTTTCAACTTGGTAGAATGGGAATGCTAAAGAAAAGATATAAAAATTGGATGGTTTAGTGGAATGGGCTTTATAATGTACACCGGGCTGTAGCCCCCCCCCCCCTCCAAAGTAGAACTCTAGTTGCGCCTATACTAAGCTCCCACAATTCCATATTTGTTCGAAGTTATTCGCATCCTAAGTTCCAGTAGCATACAAAAATAATCAGGTGTTAAAAGCGCTTAATCTGAGTATTAAGAAACTGGATTGGCTGCATAGTTGGTGCAGTGTCAAAGGTAATAACCAATCATGTTTCAACACCAGGATAAAGTTTAAGATCCTAATAAAATAATACTGTTTTTTCCTCGGTTTTTTCACTACTATATAGCATCTGTGACATGATTATTAACCTTTTTTTCAATTATAAAGTAGGTCTCAGTAGTTGTCCAAAGTGGTTAATAATGTAGACATTATTAATTAGTAGCATTAAATAAATTTGGTTTTTATTCAATACTAGTAGTCAATAATGAGAACAGTCACGCTGTCACTTTTAGAAATCTCAACTCGCAATTTCGCTCAATAAACGTTCAGACAAGTTCTCTAAAATGGATAATTGATCACATTTTGAGAAAATTCTAAGGAAATTACAATGCCAACAAAATATGGCCTGTTTGATTTTTACTTCCAAGTACTTGATTGACATGTTAGATTAATAAACAAAAAATTCTGTCCAACCGTTCACTTTCTTAACAATATAATATGTTAATTTAGAGGACTTCAAGTACTAGTAGTGAAAAAGATAGTATATATACCATGGTAGAGAAGTCTATTATTGCCTTCGCACATTACATCCCTAATCTTGATGCTCAGGCAATAAGACTAAACTTCTCTACCTTGGTATATAATGTACTACTAACCAGGGCCGGACTGGCCCAGGCCGCCCGAGCGGCCGGGGCCCCGCGCTAGCGGGGGCCCTCGTGGAACCGCGAAGCGGAGCCTCCGTCGCGAGGCCCTGCTAAAGTGCTAATTCCCAGCTAACCCGAGACTCCGCCATGTGGAGTAGCGTGTCAACTGGGCTCGCTCGCTTGCTAAATTAATTGATAAATTTACCAATACGTCACTGCAATTACAGCGCCTTTTCCTTTAATTTAATGTTCAATACTATTCAGCAAGTTGTTTGAAATACAATTAAAAAAACCTGCAAATCCCTTGTCTTCTTTTTCGGGGGGGCCTTTTGGTCATGGAGCGCCCGGGGCCTTTACCCACCCAGTCCGGCCCTGCTACTAACAGGCCCCTCGAAGACAAGTGCAGACCTTATAAGCGAATAATAATAATACACAAAAATTGGTTTGTCAAATAACTTTTTCGTTTTGCATCCAATATTTCGGACCTATTTGTTACCGATGAATCATGGTAGCAGAGCAAAATTCTTTTGTTTCCATAGGGTTTTATTTATATTCCTCCGATGATAGGAGCTAACATTACATGATTGACAACCAATTTATCTACAATTTACGCAAATTTTTTACACTTTGTAACCTACAATGTGACGTTTTCCAATACATTCGCCAACGAAAAACCAACATAAAACTTCAACGGTGACCAACGTATTTAACCATGCTTCCTTGACGGGGGTCTGCCTCCACGCACCCGATTTCGCTCCGGAAATAATTTTACCAATACCGGAGCGTATTTGCGGAATTTCGGCCGGCGTAGGAGGTACTAGTTCTACTTTAGCGTATTTTACAAACAACGCGATTCTGGGTTTCGCATATTCGATGGCCACTGAAATAGTAACTTGGTTATATAACCTCTACCAATTATTATTACGTACTTTTGCTCAATTCCGGTAGCTTAGCCGCTAGCTTTGCCATTGTGCTTGTGTATTCTTTAGACGATGTTAAAATGGGCCGAAAATGAAATTTGCACGGTTTATTTGGTGGTAAAGTCAGGGACAGGGTAACCCACAAATCACAGAAGAAAATCACAGGTCCCGGCCGTCAAAAAAACCAATTCTGCCAAATAAGGGACAACAGTTCTGCCAACCAAACCAAATTCGTTGGCACTGCCTTTTCAGTTTTGTTTGGAAATAATCTGAGGAATTATGAGCTCACCCTCACTTTGAAGAAAATAATGGCCTCTGAAGCGAGATACAAATTATTGTATGAAGAATATGAGACAACAACATTCGTTAACGTCCCCTTTGACAAAATAGCATGGGTGACTGTTGGTCTTCCCTTTGTTGCCTTTATCTTTTGTGTTTTTTATTCGGTCCTGTACAATTTTGAAAGTGCAACTTCCTCTCATTGTCACGTGTATAATGTACTGCCTTCGATATCATCCGCAATCGGAAACTTTTCACCGCAACGTGAAATTTGGCAATTTGCCGTTGCCCTACATGCTCTACCACGTTTTTGCGTAGCTGCGGCATATTTGCAATATCATAAAGAAGTACTATACCCGTGGGCGTTAAGTATGAGCGTGGTGGCGTGCCTGTTTAATATTATTGAAAACTTTGCTCTAATTATATTATCATTTTGGACGTCGTCCGACAATTATCGTAAGTTGTGTGTTGTTGAAGTTAACGCGTAGTAACATGCAATTACAGCTGTTCACAAAGTGTCATTTATAACATTTATTGTTGCGTCCGAATTATACATGCTGCTTGCCTGGCTGTTGAACAAGCGTTGCAGACGACACCAACGAAACATTGCAGAGACTAAGAGTTTAAAATGGAAAAAAAGATTGGTGCTGTTTAACATATCATGTATTGTAACCGCCACATACTTTTTTATTAGGCATAATATGTGGTGCGAAAACTATGGTAAGTTTCTACCACAACCAAGATGCGTTCTTAACAAAATCTCTTTTAGTGTATTCGTTGTTTGCATTTTTTGAATATATGGTTGTACTGTCCAACATGGCATTCCACATGATGGCCAAATTAGATTTTAAGGAAAGAAACCTAGTCATTTCAAAATCTGGAGTGTCTCTACAGTACGATCGGTAGCAAACGATTACTTAGGTTTAATTGTTAATGTAGTTTCAGTAAACAATTGGAATTTAACACAAAATTTTTATCTACTGTTATATTCATGGAGGGAAGTTTTAAACTATAAAACAATTGTCCAATTTTTTCTACACTATAGCTAAGATGCCTGTGGTCACTATTGTAATCAGATCAATAGCAGCTGCCTCTTAAAATGCACCATGGAAACGATGTAATATGTTTTAGTGTAGAAAAATCTTCTCATTTTATATTTCACAATTTACCAATGCACCACATTTAGGCATATTGTATATATTGGAAACTTAAAGTATATTGACTAAGCCTTATTGTTAAGTCACCTGAAGTAACTAAATACTTTATAATTTTATATGTATATATTACAATATTTACACGCTCATACATGTAAAATTGTTCGCATGCCATTTACACATGTAAACGCTAGTTGTAATAAATGTCTCTTGGGAGAGTTGCCATTTGTATTATGTGTAAATTTTAATATTATGGTTACAGCCCTAAAAATTAACTTTGAGATGTGGGTTTCTTACAACCTCTTATATCAGAATTAAAAATAATTTCTGTATATAGGCAGCCGATCCAGCAAACCTTTAGCTCCTGATCATTACAATAAAGAGACTACGACTACATAGTTCAAATATCCATGCTCGAACCAAGGGCCCTAAATCCACTGCGCCACATGGGTCGGATTAAGGAACGCAATTTACTTGCGAAATAATAATTCATTGCAAATAAAATTATTATTCCAACATTGCACTTTTGCATTAAATTCAAATTGAAAGTAATAATTAGGCACAAACAGTCAATGTGGCCAGTGGATATAGGTGAGGTTCGGTCCCACCTAGAACATGCCATCTCTAGAAATTATGGTTCCTTGACAAAATAAGAAACAAGGATCTACCAAACTCTACATACAAATTACAATTAGTCTCTGTAATTAATATCAAACAAGGAAACAAAAATATTTGGAGTACCTACCCCAAAAATTACAGCCCTATTCAAAAACGGATTGTGACCAAAATACCAATCAAAGAAACAGAAGTGTTTGACAATTAGTTTTTTTAGAAAAATTGTAATCTTCGAATCGAAGGTCTATATTTTGATCTGCATTTAAAGGGTCGCATGTGGACAAATTAAACAGAGAAATAAAAATATCTGAAGTACCACAAACAAAACTAAACAAGAACACGAAGATATACGTCATACAACCAAAATTACAACCCCCACCCAGATAATATTGTATATTTCTGCAATATACCAGGAATATTCAAAAAGGTACATTTGACCATCTATTAAATATACTATGGAATGTATACGTGCCTTGTAAGATATTGTAGCGAATATTCCAGAAATGCCGGGCGCCATGTAAGATTAATCATTTTCGATAAAGGACGAAAGCTGATATGACGTAATCTTTCCTAGAAATATGACATATGTTTGTTCAAGAACATTCTAAAGCGTCCTTGAGCACTCGAGAACATTCTAGAGAGAATGTTGTTGGCTATATACGCAAATCGAATTGTGTTTCGCGTTCAGTTATAACATCGACTTGGGGCCATCCATGACAAAGATCGCAATAATATCCAGTTAGCTAGCGGCAGTACGACTTGAAGGCCCAAGCAACTCGAAATTTGGGTTGGATGTAATGTCTCCAGAAGAGGCGCGGGCTATTTCCGAAATTACTATCAAGAGGAAAACCAGTCATAGTTGGCATAAATCGCTTAGGTCCATAAGCGGGACGGAACGAGCCCGACGAACAGAAAGCAGCGAATGTGATTTAAGCGAAACCACCACAGTCTACTTTCGCAGAATTTATGGCACATTACTCCGGAAGAGACGTTTAGGTGTTGTCCTTGAGTTTCGTACTCGAAATTATGACCACACCGTATATTTGTAAAGTCGACCAGCTTTGCTGAACACCCGGTACCTATCTAAAGAATTTTAAGTTTGGCGCTCCGTTGCTAAGTCGTTTCTGAATTTACTGATTTGCTCTAAAAGACACTCCTCGCGTCTCCTTTTTTGTGGGTTTTCATATTGTTTAATTGTTTGTTTTACTGCCGATAACCCATGTAAGTTAAGTTGCGAATTTATCAGTTTTGCGATCGTTTCTGTAGGAATATCAGCCAATTACAGCCACCGAAAGCTATCTTACCAGAAAAGAGAGCAAATTAATATTTTAGAATTTCAGACATTATTAACAGGTTTTGTTTTCTATGGTAAATTTAGAGCGAACATTGGAACGATAATAATAATAGCGGCTTTACTTTTTTTGTTTCGTACAGAGAATAAGAGATAAGGTTATAAAGCTTCATAGATACCAGGTGATATCGATGATCTCGCCGTTTGACCTGCGAATTCCAATTATTAGCAATGCAGGTAGTAATTGCAATACTGAATTTGAAGATTTCATTCCGACTAATTGGATAAGTATAATGAAGGATTGACATTTAAATAATTTACAAAAAAACCCGTCCGTTTGAGCTAATTAAACAGTTTAATTGGGGTTAAATTATCGTAGCTATACGTGTATGAAATGGGAATTCCGGTTACTCCCTACTCCACATTGACGTTTCGATAAATAAAAAACGCACTACCAATAATTTGAATCTTATTTCTTTTGCATCTTCGCCGCTACGTTTTATCTTCTGTTTCTAGCCTTTAACAGAATAATCGCCGATTGTGCGTGAACTACCCCAAGTTTGTCACAATCTAATGATTTGTTTGAATCACCAGCGGAATACGCTTTGGCTCATTTTCTACCCAAGAATGTGAAGATGTCCCGAGGTATTTCCGTAGTAGAATTCAAGTTCCGGTTTGGGCGCTTAAGAGAAATTTATCCTCAACCTCCTGAGGTTGGTAGAGCGTGTTTTCTACAGGAGCAGGGGCGGTTCTTTTATTCCCTGGTAATTAAGTCTTGTGAGAAACCTGGTTACAAATTGATATTTAATTTATATAAAGAAGATTTCGAAGTTTGAATCTAAAATTTTATAATTATTTGCAAACAGGGGTAGTTCTCTCCACCAACTGTTTGAAATAATAATAATAATTGACTTTATTCCCATACAAAATGATATACATGAGCATTCACTACATGAGTAAAACAAAAAAAATTTCTTTTTAAGATATCTACAGGAAAAAACAAGAGGAGAAAAGAGAAGAAAGAAAGTGAATTTTTTAACATCAAAAAGAAATTTAATAGGGATTCTCTATGCACTAAGCATACAGCCCTGAGTTAAAGTGTAGCTTTAGTGAGTAAGTAGAACCTAAATTCAACTGTTCAGGCAAATCAATAATATTTCATCATTCTTTCTTAGATTTAACATTAGTGGTTACCATAGCCATTATGATATGTATCACTATGGTGGTTACTGATTATTATTAACGATAAAAATGACTATTTTACGTATGTTAAAAAAAGTCGGTGTGTAAACTTTGCCATTAAATAGATTAATTTATAACGGTTATTATTATTTATCACTTTATTGCTTGTACTATGTACTCAAATTTATAACACGTGAATTTTACTATTTATCACTTTGGTATCAATATTGGAACTTCTATTAAACAATATTTAATCATAAGCTTCTAGAGAATTCTAGAGCCAGCACATCATACTTCCTGGAAAGTACATGTTAATATCTTGCAATGTGAATTACGTTCAAAGTTGTAAAATTTGTAATCAAAATGAGTCAAAAACATTGCCGATTTCAAAATACGCGTATGGGGTCAGTTAAAGAGGGTTGAAGAGTGTGTGAGAGATTTGCAGTAAAGAGTAACTAGAACCTTAATTCAAAATTTTGGGTAAATCAGTGCTGTTTGGCAGTATTGCAATGCTTTACCTAGAATTACTGGATTAGGGATAAGGACAGGGAAAACCCAATGAAATTGTTACTATTCTAAAGGAGCCTGGTCAAACAATAGGCATCATATAATCAGCTTACAAACGACTTTAACAATTTATTATTAATATTATTATTATATTTTGTGCATTGCACATGTTACCCCCTCTTATTGCGTTAATAGAACCTCGCGTCATTTACGTTTTTAATTTTTAAAATAAATATCAAAATGCAAAAATATTGAAGAAGTAAATTTTAGAATTTTTATAATACAATTGCAGTGCTTTTAAAGAATAACCCTAAAAACCATAGAAAAGTAATTAGGACTAGACACCAACCACCAGAGGATAATTTAGTGTGGAAGGCACTCTGGCTGTGGCCACATTCCGATGAAGATGGTGTATTGTGTGTTGCCTATTTCAATTCCAGTAAAGGGTATCTCAGAGTCAGTTTACGACAATTTAAACTGTTCCTCCAATTTGTCTGCTATCATTTTTGCTATAGCCTGTGAGCTTGTTGCTCCCGGAGACGGTGCATTTCTGCAATGCAAAATTCTCTTCCCTAATTTGCTGTCGCCCATATCAAAAACAAAGTCATCGACTAAGTTTCCATCTTTATCCAAGGCCTGGGCACGAACACCCGTCGGGCCTCTGGTAATATCGCTTGCGGCAAGATCCGGTACGAACTTTTGTAAATCCTTAACTCTCAACGATGTAAAAATAGACTTGATCATCTCTTCGGTGCCCGCCATTACAAATTTACTTGCCAATTTACGAAAACCAGAATACTGAAGTGCATCCCATAATTCCGAAAGGTTAATATCGAACCAACTAAAATTTTCGGATAAACGATGTAATAGTAATTGTAGTACTAACGTATATCCTTCGCGTTTAAACGCGAGAACTGCATTAGGTCCGAGCCACACACTACCGTCCATTCGGGGAGTGAAATGAACACCTAAAAAGGGAAATCTCGGGTCCGGTACCGGATAAATATTTCCCTTGATGATCGATTGTTTTTCTGGTGTTAGAAGTAGGTACTCTCCACGAAAAGGTACAATTCGTGGATCTCTCGAACAACCCGATAACTCCGCTAAGATATCAGAGTACAAACCACCGCACGTTAGCACGTATTTCGCCTGTAATGTTTCGCCACTCTTGGTTTCAATACATACAGGATAGTCGGCATCGGGTGCTTCGCTAAAACCATTAACCTAAACAGATTAATTACACTTAACCAAGTGCTCGTGTAATTCATACGTGAAAGTTATAAAAAATGTCACCTCCCACACTTTGGAAGTCCTTAGCGTAACTGTTGCAAACGACTATAAAGTCTATAATTCCTGTGTGAGGTGACCATAGTGCTTTAATACCTGTACATTTTGGCTCATATGTCTTTATCTTATCGCCATCAATTATCTCTAAATCTTTTACATTATTCTTCTGGCCACGCTCGTACAGATCTAGTAAATTGGATAGTTCACCTTCATTGGTGGCCACAATGAGTTTACCGACTTTTTTGTACGGAATCTTTCTTTCGTCGCAATAACTATACGTTAACTGTAGTCCTTCGACGCACAATTTGGCTTTTAATGACCCGGGTTTGTAATAAATCCCAGCGTGTATGACACCGCTGTTGTGACCGCTCTGATGCATCGCAAGCTTCGACTCCTTCTCTACGATTGCCATCTTTAAGTGTGGGTGTCGGCATAAACATTCTCGGGCGGATGCGACACCAACTATGCCACCACCGACCACTACAACATCATACTTCGGTATCCTTATAAATTTAGTGTTGAAAAATTATAAACAATTGTTCATTAGGTCCTTACGACTCTTTCGCAGTTGAATATGATGGTTTCCTCATGGAATATGGCACATTTTTCAAGGTTTTTGTCAGATGTTTTGAGAACATTTTCAAAATAATCTGAAGAGGTTAATCACAGGATGAAAACTCAAGGTCGTTACCAATTATGATCGTGAAACATTTTTAAAGTATTCCAATTGCGCGCGCTACAAAATTCAAATGTCACTTGACACTATACGACAGAACATAGAATAGTGATCATTAATGCAGGTGAAACCATAGACATATGTCCATTTGTTTTTCTGCATAATGTTCACACAAAAAGGATTCTGCCTAGGGGTCGTCCCTACGGGGACCACTCACACCTAGGAACCAGGGCCTGTTTAGTGTGCATACCATTGAGTTAGAATAATAAAAAAATAATAAAAGTGGCGTAGTTGTAATCAACACTATAACTTGAAGTACAGTGTAGAAAGAACGTCAAATAAAACATTGAAATTGTGCAAACTTTGTTTAACAATGATTGTTATTATTATGAAGATTGTGAACATTCGGAAATTTAATCGAAGTAATTTACATTGCAAAACTAAACTTTGGAAAAGGTAGTTCACCGACTAAAAACAGAAATAGGCCGGGAAAAAAAGAACTTACCAAGAAAAAAATCAGCCAACAAATTAATTGAGTGGCAAAATTAATTGTTTGTAATGATGAATGTGTAACAAAATTATAACAACAATATTAACAAAGTATGGGCCCTCGTTCGGGATTTCCCAGCCTATAGTTGCTAGTCTCAGCAATGAATGTCGTAATAACTCATTTGGTTACAGTTTCTTACCACCCCTGTACCCCTTCACAGGGAAAATCTTAGTTTATAAACAATAAGTCATTACGCATACAGACATCAAATAATTCGATCATTTCCGCATGTTTATAAGAATGATCAAAATTTATATGAATATTAATTCTGGTCAGGACCACGTAATCAAAACACAAACATAAATTAAGTAAACATTACAACAAAGACGTAACGATTTCTAACAAGAGGTTAACGGTATAAAATACGTAATTCAGCATTAAGGTTAAATCAAGTCAATTTCAAAAACAAAGATTAAAAACCGCAAAAAAATTTCTGTGGCTAACACAGATGCCACTCACACACTTGCGCATGTGCGTTCTACGTTCTTTTAGGTCTAACTAATGTGTCTACCAAATTTAGTTCCAATCGGTTAAGCCGTTTAGTCAGAAATGAGAGTACAGACAGACCGACATCATTGGTATTTTGTCCGATTAGGATTCCTGGTGCTTCAAAACGTGTATTTTCGTAAAACAAGGTGAGGGGTCATTTTTTACCCTGATGCAACACCTCCCTTATTAACGCGCGGGTGGTAAAAAATAAAATGCTTTATACAAAACACAAAATACATTATAAAGAAATGCAAAAATTACTATCTGCATTAAATAATACAAAAGTATAACAACCAACAAATATTTGTGAAGCGACGCTTTCGTGAGATCGCCATTAAAAACAAGATGCAAAATCGTATTCAACGTTCGTGCTCTCCGGATGGCGCAGAGGCAGCGTACATAGCAGAACCTCTCAGAGTGATTAAATTTTCCTTTTACTGGGCGGTATTCTATACCCCCCCCCCCCCCGCCGTTTCTATGGCGTTTTATCGAAAACTGGAATGAGAGTCACGTCGGGGAGAGGGTTTTGGTTTTTCCAATACCGGGGGGGTCTGGGGAGTATGGAATACCCCCACAAAGACATTTATATACGATTCATAGTGATATAATAATGATTGTAGGGAAAGGGCATTAAATTTTACTTACGGTTTAGCTTCATCAACTCTGTCTGAACAAAGATGAATCTTGCAGGCAGCAGAAAAACGGGTATCTGGGAGGAGGGACGTCGTTTCTTAGTCACCACTTCAGTCTAGATTCCATCACATGAAACAAAAGTGGTCAAGTTAAAACCTCAGTATAGGTACCGTAAAGCCTAGACAGAGTAAAGGCTTGATGAGGTAAGTCAATTCCTTGACTTTTTTAGACGCTCAATAACAGATGTGTATTAATGCTTAAATGCTCCAGAGGGCATTTTCCGCACAAGTTGACTTACCCCAGACTTTTACTCTGCATATGTTTATGCCGAACACGCCTTCGGCTCGGGTTATAAAGATTCAGATCGATCGAAAATAAGTTCGACCTAGGATTACGCATTTTCACGTAAAAGCGGTAGCTTTGAAGGCAGTGCCTAGCGAGCCGAAGGGGAGTTTGGCACAAACCTAGGCAGAATAAAGCTCTGATAGCGTCAATTTAAATTGCTTTTAGATCGCTGGGTATTAATACAGTTCTACTATTAAACTTCAAAAACCCGTTAATTAAAAAGAAAAAACTTACCCTTTAGCTTCATCAACTCGGCGTGGACAAAGAAGAATCTTACAGTTAACTGAAAAACTGGCATGTGGGGGGCACGACGCCATTTCCTAGTCACCATTTGAGTCGAAATTCCATCACATGAAACAACAGTGCTCAATTTTAAACTTAAGCGCAGCCTTTGGTGATCTAAGTGACTCACCTTTTTTTTTAATCTGTTAAGCTGATCTTCCTCTGATAATAAATGAGGTATACATCCCGAAAAACAGCCAACTTGAAAATGAAAAAAATGGCTCCAATGCTTCTTGACTCATTCGCAGAGAAGATCTGTTTACTTCATTAAAATGACGTGGCTATGAATTCATAGTCACTGATTAATATGAAGTAAGTGATTTCCTCCACGAAAGAGACAACTTGCAGCCTTTTTCATCGCCAAGATGACAGGCTGAGAGGGTATGGCCACCACTCACTTATTACATGGGAAGATCGGCTAAAAGTTGTTAATGGTGATCCTTTTTTCGCGGTCACTGCACTATTCACTTTCCCCCCACATAATATACAACATGCAAAAAATGGAAAAATCCTACCTTAATAAGGCTGCCCTTCTGGAATCTGAAACCAAAAAACAAATTTGTTAAAAAGTGAAAAAGTCATATTAATTAGAAAGCGAGATAAAAAGTAAAATAAAAGGAGGGTAGGTGTCGCCAATTGTAGGTACATTTCGCAATGATACTTCAATAAAAAAAAAATTTAGCACTTACCCTATAGCCTTAATTATTGATTCGGTCTCGCCCAGAACATGCCATTGACTGAACCGGCGGTAGCTGAATGTGCCATCACGGGGGTCGTCGCTAACGACTGAAAAACAAAAAAAATTGCATTAAAATTTTGAGTAACATTTAAAGGAAAATTTTGAAGTTCTCACAGACGCGGTATTTAAGAAAAGGGTACTTTACCTTTTTTTCGCTTCATCCCCCCCCCCCTCCACACCGTACTTTGGTAAGAGGACAGAAAGAGTACAATGAGAGAAAATTAATTTTTAACCCCCCCCCTCGCTCCCTGATTTCGAAAAAGTCGCACGGGAAAGTTATAGTTTGTACAAACCAATTTATTTAGACGAGACCTTTCATTAGAATACCGTGAAGGGTAGAACACGTGCCCCCCCCCCCATTTCCTAAAGTTTAACTTAGCACCACTAAAGCAATGCGTATGTAAAATCTAAGACCAATTGGTTGTCGTATGTAAAAGCTATGCACGTTTTACTTTCATAAACAGCTTCTCAGGAAATAATTCGTGGGGGGGGGGGCCCTTTTAGATAGCGAAACTTGATGGCCGTCTGGCACACCTTCAAGGTATAAGCTACCTACTGCAAAAAATTCCAGGATTCTAGGACCATCTAGAAGTACCTAGTTCAAAACGGTAGAAGTGGGTCCGGACGGACGGACGGACAAAACGCAAACAATAGCACATAATAATAAAAAAAAAAACACTTACTTCTTAATTTCTTCAACACGGCCTGGGCAGAAATGAAACTTGCACAATGAGCATGTATGAAATGTGGGGATGAAACGCCCCTTAGTCTGCTTCGCCAATAACTGAAAAGTAAAAAAATGCATAAAATTGTTTTCAATTCAATCAATAATGTGGAGGAAGAGATGGACGGACAGAAACAATTTTCTTTGTGTTATGCGTAAAAATAAGAGACGATTATTTTTCTAAATTTCAACTGAGGGCTCTTTCAAGTGGGGAGCAAACGTCCCAAAGACCCAGTTCTTTCCTGGTTATTGGCTATGACCAAAGAGTATTACTCTTTGCTATGACTGTATTTCATGTGAAAAAAGTGAGTTTACGAGCGAAGGGTCCGGCTGGATTTCTTCCCTATTGCCCCACTCCAGCCCGTCCCTGCGTTCATAGACAACCAAGAGGCGCAACATGTGATAAATAGCCTCTCACAAGGCAACTTCTGGTTGCGTTCATGCAATTTGAGGGAGCCCTCCAGGCTACAATCTAATGCGTTTTATGGATCAGCCACTTAATTTATAGAATTCAGGGCAGCACGTGCCCTTGCTCTCTTGAAAGCAATGCTGATCTGTGTGAAAATTCACTTCGATCGCAAGCTCAAACTGTTAGAAAAAACTTAAGCAAATCATGTCGTGACGTCATCATCCCTTATCGCTAGGAATAAGAAGTCGCTTTTTTTGGAGGGTGGGGTGGGGTTACGCAAATAATTGAACAATTTCGCACAAGTACCCCTTCAGACCTAGGCTTGTGCCGAACACGCTTTCGGCTCGCTCGGCACGGGTTATAAAGATTCAGATCGATCGAAATTCGAAAATAAGATCGACCCAGGATTAAAATTGAACGTATAAAAGCGGCAGCTTTGAAGCCAAATATGCCGAGCGAGCCGAAGGGGAGTTTGGCACAAACCTAGGCAGAATAAAGATCTGATGGAGTCAGTCGAAATTGCTTTTGGATCGCTAAAGGAAAAACTTACCCTTTAGCTTCAACAACTCGGCCTGGACAATGAAGAATCTTGCAGATAGCTGAACAATAAGCATGTGGGTTGTGGGAGTGATACGCCTCCTATTAGTCTGCATCACCAATAACTGAAAAGTAAAAGAAAATGCTTTAAATTTGTTTGAATTAAATTATTAATAATATAAAAGGATGGACGGACATTTTTCTTTGCGTTATGCGAAAGAACAGGGGACGATTGTTTTTCTGAATTTCAGACGCAGAGCAAGGAAACAAAAAGCGTCTCAAAGATGCCTGATTTGGCCATGACTCATGACTGGAGGAGCCGCTCTATAATAATAAACAAT